TAGCGTCTACAGCACCTCCGCTTTTAGGGTTGACGTACACCCACACGTCGCCCAGAGGTCCCCCGGTGTTGTTGCGGGAGCTGCTGCACTAGCTAACGCTACATTAGCAAAACAAACGCAAATTTATTTTTCAAAAGGTGCAGCGGGCTTCAAACACGTTCCCCTCCCCTGGTTTCAACCAAGCACTAAATTCGATGTTTTCCAACCAAATACGGTTGAACTTACACTTCCCCATATATATTTTTAAGTAGATTCTAAGATACATGAGTTTCTGACTGTCGCTAGCTGAAGCTTGGTTGCTAGGTTACTAGCTGGGTGTTCTCCAATAAGGGGCCGGGGGAAACAAAGTTAGTGATTACTGGTTCCATGTTGATTTATTTCAATACAAATTGTTGGGGGGAACTGAAAGGCTCTCACCGTACTGGTTACTTTGCAGCCCGGACATTTCCCCCAAAACACATATAGAGGCGATCGCAACACAGAAGTACCTTTCAAATCCGATCATTTTTAAGACCTTCTAAATCATATTTAAGACCTTTCTTATTTTTTTGGTCATATTTAAGACCTTTTTAAGGCCTTAAATTCAGATTATCAAATTTAAGACTTTTTAAGACCCCGCGGGAACCCTGAACACTTGATGAATTGATATAAAACATAAATAAAAAGAATATTAACTAATTTCTAAGATATCCCAACTTAGTAGCTTCAGGTAGCTGCACTTCGAAGTAGCATTATAATGCAAAAGTACCCGTACGTGGGCCCACAACGCATGCGCAGTTGAGTTTCCCCTTAAGCCCTGCCTCCTATCTCCTGCTCTGTCAGTCAGATGAATGGAGAGATTGATTGATTGATTGAAAAGTTTATTAACAGCTTGTATATTGGGTACAGTACAGTACAGCTCAAAACATACAATTGTTAAGGGGATGCAGACCAGAGAAAGACTTTCGTCTTGTTTACATCAGGGTCCCCCATTTCCAATTCATCATATCATTTAAGACATATAAGACATATTTGACATACAGATGGCTTATTTACAATTTACATACAGGTGGTTATTTGCATACAGATGGCTTATTTACAATTTACATACAGGTGGTTTTTTACATACAGATGGCTTATTTACAATTTTCATTTTAGATTTCGTTCTAATACATCCTAACCGGACATTTAAGACATACCAAGTCTACAGATATACAGTTAGTAACAGAGTCTGAAATGCGAGTATATACATAGATGGGGGGGGGAAGCTGTCCATTGTACGACAGGTTGAGATTTGTACCATTACCGGGGCCAGTTTTGCAATGCTCTCCCCCGAAGGTGCTCTTTAAGAGAGGTTTTGAAGGTAAGTATATTTTTACTTAGAGAGAAATTCTAAACTCTGGATTCAGCTTTTAGTGCATTTTACAACTTTAACACCCTAATGATTAAAATAAGGGCTAAAAAAGAGTTTGTGCTGTGTAGTTTGTTTAGCTAAAAAAAAAAGTATCCACTGGTTTACAGACGTCTCTTTCCCATTGTAAGTCAAATGGAAAAACGTCTTCTTCATGGACATGGTGAGTTTTGGAGCAGAAAAAAGAAAATACAAAATGTGTAGAGGTAAAGTGAAGAGGACTGCAACAGAAAGAACAAGAGTGACCTCTGCTGGTAATACACATGTAGTGCATTTATTTATCAGGATTTCTATAAAGCACCGTGTATGTTTTGTAAAGAAGCCTTTAAAGTTGTAATCAACCTGAAAATAAGCAGAATAGGGTCCCTTTAAACCGATAGACATATTAATATAATCCATTAACAATATGATATATACAATTCTGCACTCTGAGTACTTGTGCTTGTGTTTTTGTTTTTTTAACCTTTATTTAACCAGATAAAAAAGCATTGAGATAAAATCTAATTTTCAATGCTGACCTGGCCAAGAAGGCAGCAACGTTGCACATAACACATAACACAAACATATAAATACAGAGAACATAACTAAGAAAACAAAAGACGAAAAAGCAGTCACTACATTGTGCACATTTGGGACAGTAAGAAAGGTACACTACTTATTACTGCAAGAGCAGCTGGTGGTGAGGACTTCAGACAACTTCAATTTAAAACATGCTATTGAGACAAGTGCCATCAGTGTGAGGCGTGATTGAAGGTCATTCCAAGACCAAGGACCATAATAAAAAAGACTCCTTTTTCCAGCCTCAGTCCGCACGGCAGGAACCTGGACCCGTATCCAGGCACTGGATCTGAGGTTGTAAGAGTCACAAACTGTAGCAAATCTGACACATATGTACAGTGGAAGCTTTCCTAAAATGGCTTTATACATTAATAAAAACCAATGCTGCATCCTACGCATAGTAAGTGAGGACCATCCAGTTAGGCTATACAGTTTGCAATGATGAGTCCTATAGGGTGCATTTGATATATAACACAGTGCAGCATGGTAGAGTGGGTCAAGTTTTAAGTGTTAATTTGATGTTACTGTTGTTCTTACTTTGAGTATGTTTCCATAGTTCAAATATCTTCAAAACAGCTTTTTTTTACTTCTTAAACTCCATAAAGAAGGTGGTGGCGAAGTCCATAGGGGCTTGGCTTGGCAACTGGAAGGTCACCAGTTCAAGTCCCGGTGTAGGTACCATATGTGTTCGGCCTACCAGATGTGTTCGGGGTCCGTTACGCTTACCAATGACGTCACGCATTGGCTGTACGGTAACCCAAGAGGACATTTTACACGGTCAAATTCCGAATGTATTGAAACTCCAGACTCAACGTAAGAGCTTGAGCCTCTTCGGGGGGTGCTAACATTTAAACATACACTTCATTCTTTACTTTGTCCGTTATTATATGTAGAAGATATTACTTTTTTCTCCGTCATGTTGTTTCCATAGCAACAACTTCAAAATAAAAGCATCTAAATAGATTTGTGTTCTACACACCAAAATACGTTATTTGAACACCCCTCTCGATCGATTTACAAGAAAAAATTAGTATGGCCCGCCCTAATACACCAACGCAGTTTTTAAAGATATACATTTTTCAACACAGAATCATTTGCCAAATTACACCATATCCAATCATTTTACGAGTCAGAAAATGCTATCTGTTCATTGCAGTTATTGTTTATTGAATTAGATTACCATGAGCTCAACATAATTATGTAGAGTACAAGTCCACAGCCAAGAAAATGTTATTTGCATATCATTTTATTTATGAATATGGAATTATGGAATTCTAACACTGGAATTTGTTATTATTTACTATAACTTTATTATATTATTCGGGTACAGCCCTACTGTACCAAAATATCCGAATATTCGTTCGTTGGAGTACTATTCGGGTTTCAATTTCGTTATTCAGATATTCGTTTTTGTTTTTTTTCCCCGTTTTTTTTTCAAATTGAATTTATTGAAATCTCCAATATCAACGTAAGAGCTTGTGCCTCTTCGGGGGGTGCTAACACTTAACCATAAACGTTATCGTTTACTTTCTCCGTCTTTATATGTAGATATTACTTTTCTCCGTTAATCTCTGTCACGTTGTTTCCAAAGCAACAACAACTTCCTGTCAACTGCGCTAACTCTCCTTCAAAATAAAAGCATGTCCATAAATAGGACATGCCAAATTACACTTAACACATAGCCTATACAACTGCAACGAATGTAACAAACACAATGCGATATCCTTTTCAATTTCAAAGAACACAAATTGGGTTACATTAACAAATAACTATAAAACAATAATACTGTAGAATAACAAAATGAATGCCGTGAATACACTGAAATACACGTGTTGAAGCGGTTCGCTGCTGATTACTACGATTCCGTACAGCCAATCACAATGGGTGACGTCATTGGTAAGCGACGGACCCCGAACACATATGGTAGGGCGAACACATATGGTACTGACACCGGAAAGACCAAGTGCTACCGAGGTGTCCCTGAGCAAGACACTGCTCCCCGGGCGCCGTACATAATGGCAGCCCACTGCTCCTAACACTAGGATGGGTCAAATGCAGAGAAACCGTTTTGTTACATAGAACCTGTACTATGTAACGACAATAAGTTGAATCTTCAATCTTCTTCAATGACTTGGATGATGAGGTATTAAAAAGAGTCATTTCCAGTAAACTGTGTTCAAGTGGAAGCATGTCCGAACATATCTCCGCCCACACACACGTCAAACACAAACACACACACACACACACACACACACACACACACACACACACACACACACACACACACACACACATATATTTCACAAGAAGGGATTTTTCTACGTGTCATCATCCAGGAAACATAAACTCTCCTTCTCCCCTTTGCAGTGGAGGAGGAGAGTGGCTGTTTAATACTTTTTAGAAGATGTGTAAATGATAAATATAACTGTATAAGGACACAACCCTTACTGCTGTTTTGTGGTTGTTGTTTTTTAATGACAATGTATTAACCCTGCAATGCAAATCAATTATGAAAAGGAAAAAAACTTTATTGATACATTTAAATTATTATAATAGACTTTGGCCATTTTAATTAATTATGTATGTTGTCTTTTGTTAGAGATTGTTATAATGTCTACATGTGGTGTGTATATTGTTGTACATGTTCTACTAAAAACGGTATGTATGTAGTGGAGTATAATATAGTTGCAGACAAATGTAAATTACATTAAAACAAATAAAAAAGTCAATAAATGTATTTAATTGTTATAATTATTGCTGTATGAATGCCTTCATCACTTCGATGTTGCAGCTGGTAGTTTTAATTTCTTAATTTTCTTAATTAATTGTATTATATGATGCAATAATTACATGATTACATTTTCTAATATTAATAATATAAATAATTGTTTACTTTATCATCATCATCATCATCATCATCATCATCATCATCATCATCATCATCATCATCATCATCATCATCATCATCATCATCATTATCATCATCATTGTACAAATAATACGTTTATTTTAAATGCTCCCACCCTCCCAAATCTGCCCTACTTTTCGTTTCCCGGAAATCCACGCCTCCTCCTTACAGTAAGCCTCCGCCCCATATTGATTTGCATAAAACCGCTTGACCCGTAGATCCCTCCTCACTGTGCCTCGCCGGTGTTGTTGTATTTTCACGCTTTTAAAAACAAATTGACTGTATTTTTGTTTCATTGTAATACCCATCAAACATGGCTCATGTCAACATTTGCGTCAAACGGCTTCTGACCATCTTCAACATCTTCTTTGCGGTAAGTTTGAATAATAACCTCAAAAAAGTGGCCGGATCTCTGGAATAGAAACTGCGTAGTTTCGGTTTAAAACGTAATTTTAACTCTTAAACCGGCTAATAATGTGTGTTTTATTTAACTAATTGATTGTATTTCATTCTGTATCAATCATGTGTAAAATCCTATTTCCCTTCATTGACTTTTGACTCTTATAAGTTGACTTTTTACACGAGTGCCATACTCCATTAACATTTCAATATATTTTGTAATAAAGTGCATTTACTCCTCCTCCATTTGACATAAAACGTATACAAACAATAAAATAAAATACATTACTAACTCTCAAAAGGTTCGGCTATAATACATTTTAGATTATTTAAAGCTATTTGTTTTTATTATAATCAGTTTTAGGATTTAAGTGAGAAAAAACACGATACATTGTAGTGTGTGTGTGTGTGCCTCCTGGATAAATAGCAGGGTCTGTTTAGGTGACTTTAAAGGTTTATCTGTGTTTAACCAGAAAAAAGCCAACCTTTACTTGCTTTATTGTGTAATTTTAGTAATTGTTTGGCAATTAAATACATTTTCTGTCTGTTAGGTAAACAAGTACCGAAGGGGAAGGGAAAGTTTAAACCATAAAATAATAGATTTTATTTTTTATGAAAGTGTCTTAAAGGGTTAAATAAAACAGATGTATTCATGTGTATATCAGTATGTAGTGTCTCTACTTTAAAGAGTCCTCTCCTGCTGATGTTCAGGTGTATATCAGTATGTAGTGTCTCTACTTTAAAGAGTCCTCTCCTGCTGATGTTCAGGTGTATATCAGTATGTAGTTCCTCTACTTTAAAGAGTCCTCTCCTGCTGCTGTTCAGGTGTATATCAGTATGTAGTGTCTCTACTTTAAAGAGTCCTCTCCTGCTGATGTTCAGGTGTATATCAGTATGTAGTGTCTCTACTTTAAAGCGTCCTCTCCTACTGATGTTCAGGTGTATATCAGTATGTAGTGTCTCTACTTTAAAGAGTCCTCTCCTGCTGATGTTCAGGTGTATATCAGTGTGTAGTGTCTCTACTTTAAAGAGTCCTCTCCTGCTGATGTTCAGGTGTATATCAGTATGTAGTGTCTCTACTTTAAAGAGTCCTCTCCTGCTGATGTTCAGGTGTATATCAGTATGTAGTGTCTCTACTTTAAAGAGTCCTCTCCTGCTGATGTTCAGGTGTATATCAGTATGTAGTGTCTCTACTTTAAAGAGTCCTCTCCTGCTGATGTTCAGGTGTATATCAGTATGTAGTGTCTCTACTTTAAAGAGTCCTCTCCTGCTGATGTTCAGGTGTATATCAGTATGTAGTGTCTCTACTTTAAAGAGTCCTCTCCTGCTGTCTTGTCTTATTTGCAAGTCATTACCTTTTTATAGAGAGTGTATGTTATGTTTCTGTTTTGTTTGTCTCCACCTGGTTTCCAGTCAGTCGGCAAAACAACAATTAAATATAATAGTTTCCAGATCTACACGTTGGTTTGTGTTTGTGTTTTGTTGAAACTATGTCAGGAAGTCATGTTGTGGTTAGCTGCTCATTTCGATATTGGCCACAATGAGAACAGTGTGTTTTTTATACTAAAAACTAGAAGTAAAAGCTTTCCTGTCACAGTGTTGTTTTGCACGGTGAAGATTAGACTCCAAATAACTCTGGATTTGTGTTTCAGGTATTAGACATGAACTGTTTTTTAAATAATCAGATAAAAACGGTAGAAATTATATTTAAAGGACTAACACTGATACTGAATGACCTTAAACATGACTTGGACTCTTTGTACTATAAAATATTTGTATTTAATTGAAGTTTTTTCTGGGTTTTAAGGTTTTAATGCCACAAAAAGTTATTGGTGTTGTGACCAAGATATTATTAACATGCTGTTCTAAAAAAATCTGATAAAATTATACGAACAAGGACATTTGAAATGGCTTGAAAAATGCTCTCTGGTGGAATAACTCTGATAGTAAATGACCTTAAAAATTACAAGGGCTTGATAAGATAAGGGGAACTTAAAATAAATTACTTTAAAATAACATTTCATTAGGGCGATTTGGACATTGTATTACCTTAAGAGATTATATAACGGTATAATGTCGTTGTACAGCATACAGAAACAAAACTCAACATGCAAAGAAATGGATCAGAGAAAACCACAATTAAAATTATACTTTGTTTTGTTTCAGATTATCGGCGGTCTCATCATCGCCTTCGCTTTCATCGGGCAGACACTGAGCAACAGCCATGGAGGAGGAAACGTAAGTATATCAGAATGTAGTGTCTCTACTTTAAAGAGTCCTCTCCTGCTGATGTTCAGGTGTATATCAGAATGTAGTGTCTCTACTTTAAAGAGTCCTCTCCTGCTGATGTTCAGGTGTATATCAGTATGTAGTGTCTCTACTTTAAAGAGTCCTCTGCTGCTGATGTTCAGGTGTATATCAGTATGTAGTGTCTCTACTTTAAAGAGTCCTCTCCTGCTGATGTTCAGGTGTATATCAGTATGTAATGCCTCTACTTTAAAGAGTCCTCTCTTGTCTTCAGATCGAGGGTCGGGGCATTGGCCTCATCGGACTGTATCTGTTTGGATCCGTAACCATGGTGATCGCTGTGCTGGGAGCCTATGGTTCTCACAAGGAGAGCAAAGGCTGCCTGATCGCTGTGAGTATAAATAATAATAACATCAAATATATAAAAAGCTTCCTCTGTTAAAACTGCACAGCTGTTCCACTTATATCCTGTGTTATATTGTATAAAGTATTATATGATCAGACGGTGTTATTGCACATCAGGGGCTTTCCAGTCTGTGAAAAACCTGCTTCATGAAACATCCTGTCACTTTCTGTCTTATTTCATAACAGATTTAGCATTATTTTAATCTAAATTCCTCTTTTGTTTTGACACCAGATAAAATCCCTTCTTCTTCTGTCTGAAAGCAGATATGAGTTTATTTCAACATCTCTTATGACTAAATCTTTATTTTTCCCCAAGCTTTCCTCACAGGATATTGATGATACTTGAACTTTACAGAACGTTACAAAATCTGCAACGCCTATTCAGGGAAATCCACAAAAAAGTGATTTCTGATTGTCCTTCCTGTTCTCTGAAACATTTAGTCCTCGTTAATCTGACTTTAGAGTCACAGAAACACCGTCTTGTAGGGCTGTGCGATTATGGCAAAAATCCTAATCACGATTATTTTGGTCAATAATTGATATCACGATTATTAAAAACGATTATCCATTTACTTTGAAAACATCCATTTATTGAAACAAAAATGTGAACAGTATGTTTTTAACAGTTGATTACCCTGAACTTTAAGTTTAATTCAACTGAAAAACCAATAAAAAATAAAATAAAAAAAATAAATAATTACATTTTTTTTTTTAAATAATATTAAAAATGTCTTATTAGCTATCCACGCATGGTTCTGCGTCTGTAAAGTGAAATAACGTTGAGAAAATGCAATCATTTCATTTATTTTGTAATTTATCTGTTATTTTGAACACTTTCGCATTTGCTTTATATTCATAGAAAGTGTTCAAAATAATCTGAAAAACATTGTTTTATTCAAACAACTGTCGTAGCAGCTTTAAAATCAGCCGTGGTCTAGAGAGAATAATCAGTTAGGTAACAACACAATATTCGTATTAAAGGCAATAAAGATATTTTTATACGTGCAAGTATGACGTCTCCTCTAAAAGAGCACGTCCTGTTCTGAGTGAAACCGGCTCTCTAGGAGGACAACAACAACATTCTGGGAGGCCAGCTGATACCCCCTCTGGCACTGTATGCAAAACCATCATCTACAAGACAATGGGATATACAGATACCCCTCAGACACAGTATGCAAAGACCTCACCCCCTAAACACGTCTGTTGATCACACATACATTTAAGGTTCACTCCCAAAGAGATGACCTAATCAGAGAAACTAAGGCGCCGTTTACACGAGGACAAAACTGCTTGTATCTGCATAGTTTCTCTTACGTATAGCCCTATTATTTACACGAGGCCGATAGAAACGGACCCCACAAACGATAACGGCAAAAAGATAAATGTTTGTAGGCCTATTCAGGCTATAATCTACACAAAAAAAGGAAACACAGGACCGGCGTGTCCCAGAGGAGCGATCTCACCCGGTGTTTGTAGAGAATATCTCTCTTTCTGAGCGCGTCCTCTCCACAGAGACGTGCTTCTTGGTCGGTCGATGCAATATCCACAGATTCGGTTTCTTTCAGTTAACTTCCCCGTTGCATTTATCCATATGCTGAGGAAATGACTATATCCCGCTGAATACCAGCAATCGCCACACACACCTGTCAGTAGCTACTGCTAGTGCTACTGCTACTGACCATGCTACAGATGTTAGTGCAAAATCTACAGCTCCTCTACCACAACCATCAGCAACAAGTGGACATGGAGAATTACATGAACTACATGTTGCTAAATCCACCGCGGGGCTTAAACAGAAGGGTAGCCATGGCAACATTGCTGCGGGGCTGCTCCGGAGTCTTCTTCGCTGCTTTTGGTGTATTTTGGCGGAAGTTACAGCGCCACTTACAGTCCCGGCATATGTACTACAGCGTGTCCAGCGGTCTCGTTTGAACAGACACGTTAAATGAAACAAATGCATGTGAACGGAAGACTTTTTTGAAAGCGCATACTGTGCATAAACGCAAACGTTCCCGTGTGCACAACGCCTTAAGGTTCACTCCCAAAGAGATGACCTAATCAGAGAAACTAAGGTTAGCAATGTTAACACATTTGATCGTACAATTTCCTTAACACAACCCCTCATGTCCCTTCAGTGACTGTGAAAAAAGGGCCAAACGTCATTAAAATGTTGATGGATTTGGTTGAAAGAAGTTCCTTAACATCACTATAAATCCTCAGAAACCTCATATTGACTTCTTTACAAACTATTCAGGTATCTGTGTGGGTCTATATTCACTTTCTTTCCCTGTTTCTCTGCAGTTCCTGGTCTGTATGGTGATTGGAAGTCTGATCATGCTCCGCGGCGGGATCCCTATCGCCACCGTGCGCCCCATGGTAAAGACAACCGGCTGTTTGTACAAGATCAATATTTACTAGAACTTCTTGTGCTGATTATCACAGAAGGACAATAACAAACGTCTTCAAACAGCTAGAGTTTAATAAAAGTGTTGAATTGATTGAGTAAATGAGCTCAAGGTCACATGTTGGAGTTGAAATCTGTTATTTTTCTAATTTAAAAATGTGTCCACTGAGAGAAATGTGGCTTTTTAAAAAAAACTTTTACATTTATTCTTTGTAATAAGTGAGTGAGTTTCTCCTAATGGAAGTGTTTTGGGTCGTTGTAGCGCGCCTCCACCTGTCGCCCATCGTAGTCTTCTGATTCAAACTATTATAATTGTCTGTAAATTGTTAATTAATTCTTCTAATTACTCTCCGTGTGTTTTCTTGCAGCTGGGTGATATCCTTGAGGAGAAGTTAAGGATGGCTGTGCCTCTCGACACGGCGTCAAGCGAAGACAGGGTCATGGTTGAGAGCATACAGCACGAGGTAACACACACACACACACACGCACGCACACACACACACACACACACACACACACACACACACACACACACACACACACACACACACACACGGGTGTATTGTCGTCAGGTTTCAAACAGGAACTAATAATAAAAACCGTGTCGTTGGAGTTATTGTTTTATTAGTTCTTGGCAGAAAACGGAGGATCTTATCTTCCCGTAATTACGACACACAGGTTTTATTCGAATGTAAAATGATAAAAAGGAACGTTTACGAGAAATAATCCAAGAACAAAAACTGAGTTGTCGACTGCTTTGTGCTTTTAGATTAAATGAGTGCTCAGATTTTCATTTTTAAAGACATGTATGAATACGTGATTCTGTTGTCTTGAGTTGCAACAGGACAAGAAGTCGGTGAAATGTCACTGACGTCACAGCCTCTCCTAAACATCCAGGTGTCTGCAGCTCAGATTGAAATCTAGAGGGAGAAGTTTGTTTTATGATTTGACTCGCATGCAAACGACCTCGGCCCGGAGGTAAGGGCGGTTTTAAAGAGGAAGAACAAACTCCATAAACTGAAGTGACCCGGAGTCATATTTTAATTTAGTTCCTTAATTTCTTCCTCCAAACTCTGAGAGAACAACACTTTTTTTAATGGTTTGGTACGAGGCACATTCTGTGTCTCTGATCTTGTTGATAAGATATTTAAAGGGGACCTATTATTTAAAACCCTCTTCTTCATGTCTCTTCTACATCAACATGTGTCCCCTCTTCTTCATGTCTCTTCTTCATCAACATGTGTCCCCTCTTCTTCATGTCTCTTCTTCATCACCATGTGTCCCCTCTTCTTCATGTCTCTTCTTCATCACCATGTGTCCCCTCTTCTTCATGTCTCTTCTTCATCAACATGTGTCCCCTCTTCTTCATGTCTCTTCTACATCAACATGTGTCCCCTCTTCTTCATGTCTCTTCTACATCAACATGTGTCCCCTCTTCTTCATGTCTCTTCTTCATCAACATGTGTCCCCTCTTCTTCATGTCTCTTCTACATCAACATGTGTCCCCTCGTCTTCATGTCTCTTCTTCATCAACATGTGTCCCCTCTTCTTCATGTCTCTTCTTCATCAACATGTGTCCCCTCTTCTTCATGTCTCTTCTACATCATGTGTCCCCTCTTCTTCATGTCTCTTCTACATCAACATGTGTCCCCTCTTCTTCATGTCTCTTCTACATCAACATGTGTCCCCTCTTCTTCATGTCTCTTCTTCATGTCTCTTCTACATCAACATGTGTCCCCCTCTTCTACATCAACATGTGTCCCCTCTTCTTCATGTCTCTTCTTCATCAACATGTGTCCCCTCTTCTTCATGTCTCTTCTACATCACCATGTGTCCCCCTCTTCTTCATGTCTCTTCTTCATCAACATGTGTCCCCTCTTCTTCATGTCCTCTTCTACATCAACATGTGTCCCCTCTTCTTCATGTCTCTTCTTCATCAACATGTGTCCCCTCTTCTTCATGTCTCGTCTACATCACCATGTGTCCCCCTCTTCTTCATGTCTCTTCTTCATCACCATGTGTCCCCTCTTCTTCATTGTCTCTTCTACATCAACATGTGTTCCCCTCTTCTTCAATGTCTCTTCTTCATCAACATGGTGTCCCCTCTTCTTCATGTCTCTTCTACATCAACATGTGTCCCACTCTTCTTCATGTCTCTTCTTCATCAACATGTGTCCCCTCTTCTCATGTCTCTTCTACATAACACCATGTGTCCCCTCTTCTTCATGTCTCTTCTTCATCACATGTGTCCCTCTTCTCATGTCTCTCTTTCATCACCATGTGTCCCCTCTTCTTCATGTCTCTTCTTCATCACCATGTGTCCTCTTCTTCATGTCTCTTCTTCATCAACATGTCATGTATCCCCTCTTCTCATGTCTCTGTCTACATCAACATGTGTCCCCTCTTCTTCCATGTCTCTTCTACATCAACATGTGTCCCCTCTTCTTCATGTCTCTTCTTCATCAACATGTGTCCCCTCTTCTTCATGTCTCTTCTACATCAACATGTGTCCCCTCTTCTTCATTCCTCTTCTTCATCAACATGTGTCCCCTCTTCTTCATGTCTCTTCTTCATCAACATGTGTCCCCTCTTCTTCATGTCTCTTCTACATCATGTGTCCCCTCTTCTTCATGTCTCTTCTACATCAACATGTGTCCCCTCTTCTTCATGTCTCTTCTACATCAACATGTGTCCCCTCTTCTTCATGTCTCTTCTTCATGTCTCTTCTACATCAACATGTGTCCCCTCTTCTTCATGTCTCTTCTTCATCAACATGTGTCCCCTCTTCTTCATGTCTCTTCTTCATCAACATGTGTCCCCTCTTCTTCATGTCTCTTCTACATCACCATGTGTCCCCTCTTCTTCATGTCTCTTCTTCATCAACATGTGTCCCCTCTTCTTCATGTCTCTTCTACATCAACATGTGTCCCCTCTTCTTCATGTCTCTTCTTCATCAACATGTGTCCCCTCTTCTTCATGTCTCTTCTACATCACCATGTGTCCCCCTCTTCTTCATGTCTCTTCTTCATCACCATGTGTCCCCTCTATCTCTTCATGTCTCTTCTACATCACACATGTGTCCCCTCTTCTTCATGTCTCTTCTTCATCAACATGTGTCCCCTCTTCTTCATGTCTCTTCTACATCAACATGTGTCCCCTCTTCTTCACTGTCTCTTCTTCATCAACATGTGTCCCCTCTTCTTCATGTCTCTTCTACATCAACATGTGTCCCCCTCTTCTTCATGTCTCTTCTACATCAACATGGTCCCCTCTTCTTCATGTCTCTTCTTCATCGTCCCCTCTTCTTCATGTCTCTTCTTCATCAACATGTGTCCCCTCTTCTTCATGTCTCTTCTTCATCAACATGTGTCCCCCTCTCTTCAAGTCTCTTCTACATCCACATGGTCCCCTCTTCTTCATAGGTCTCTTCTTCATCAACATGTGTCCCCTCTTCTTCATGTCTCTTCTACATCAACATGTGGTCCCCTCTTCTTCATGTTCTCTTCTACATCAACATGTGTCCCCTCTTCTTCATGTCTCTTCTACATCAACATGTGTCCCCCTCTTCTTCATGTCTCTTCTCATCACATGTGTCCCCTCTTCTTCCTGTCTCTTCTTCATCCACATGTGTCCCCTCTTCTTCATGTCTCTTCTTCATCAACATGTGTCCCCTCTTCTTCATGTCTCTTCTTCATCAACATGTGTCCCCTCTTCTTCATGTCTCTTCTACATCAACATGTGTCCCTCGTCTTCATGTTCTTTACATCATCAACATGTGTCCCCTCTTCTTCATGTCTCTTCTTCATCACATGTGTCCCCTCTTCTTCATGTCTCTTCTACATCAACATGTGTCCCCTCTTCTTCATGTCTCTTCTTCATCAACATGTGGTCCCCTCTTCTCATGTCTCTCTTCATCAACATGTGTCCCCTCTCTTCAGTCTCTCTTCTTCATCAACATGTGTCCCCTCTTCTTCATGTCTCTTCTACATCAACATGTGTCCCCTCTCTTCATGTCTCTTCTTCATCAAACATGTGTCCCCTCTTCTTCATGTCTCTTCTTACATCAACATGTGTCCCCTCTTCTTCATGTCTCTTCTTCATCAACATGTGTCCCCTCTTCTTCATGTCTCTTCTTCATCACCATGTGTCCCCTCTTCTTCATGTCTCTTCTTCAATCACCATGTGTCCCCCTCTTCTTCATGTCTCTTCTTCATCAACCATGTGTCCCCTCTTCTTCATGTCTCTTCTTCATCAACATGTGTCCCCTCTTCTTCATGTCTCTTCTACATCAACATGTGTCCCCTCTTCTTCATGTCTCTTCTACATCAACATGTGTCCCCCTCTTCGTCATGTCTCTTCTCTCTCATCAACATGTGTCCCCTCTTCTTCATGTCTCTTCTACATCATGTGTCCCCTCTTCTTCATGTCTCTTCTACATCAACATGTGTCCCCTCTTCTTCATGTCTCTTCTACATCAACATGTGTCCCCTCTTCTTCATGTCTCTTCTTCATCAACATGTGTCCCCTCTTCTTCATGTCTCTTCTTCATCAACATGTGTCCCCTCTTCTTCATGTCTCTTCTACATCACCATGTGTCCCCTCTTCTTCATGTCTCTTCTTCATCAACATGTGTCCCCTCTTCTTCATGTCTCTTCTACATCAACATGTGTCCCCTCTTCTTCATGTCTCTTCTTCATCAACATGTGTCCCCTCTTCTTCATGTCTCTTCTACATCACCATGTGTCCCCTCTTCTTCATGTCTCTTCTTCATCACCATGTGTCCCCTCTTCTTCATGTCTCTTCTACATCAACATGTGTCCCCTCTTCTTCATGTCTCTTCTTCATCAACATGTGTCCCCTCTTCTTCATGTCTCTTCTACATCAACATGTGTCCCCTCTTCTTCATGTCCTTCTTCATCAACATGTGTCCCCTCTTCTTCATGTCTCTTCTACATCAACATGTGTCCCCTCTTCTTCATGTCTCTTCTTCATCAACATGTGTCCCCTCTTCTTCATGTCTCTTCTACATCAACATGTGTCCCCTCTTCTTCATGTCTCTTCTTCATCAACATGTGTCCCCTCTTCTTCATGTCTCTTCTTCATCAACATGTGTCCCCTCTTCTTCATGTCTCTTCTTCATCAACATGTGTCCCCTCTTCTTCATGTCTCTTCTACATCAACATGTGTCCCCCTCTTCTTCATGTCTCTTCTTCATCAACATGTGTCCCCTCTTCTTCATGTCTCTTCTACATCAACATGTGTCCCCTCTTCTTCATGTCTCTTCATCAACATGTGTCCCCTCTTCTTCATGTCTCTTCTTCATCACCATGTGTCCCCTCTTCTTCATGTCTCTCTTCATCACCATGTGTCCCCTCTTCTTCATGTCTCTTCTTCATCAACATGTGTCCCCTCTTCTTCATGTCTCTTCTTCATCAACATGTGTCCCTCTTCTTCATGTCTCTTCTACATCAACATGTGTCCCCTCTTCTTCATGTCTCTTCTACATCAACATGTGTCCCCTCTTCTTCATGTCTCTTCTACATCAACATGTGTCCCCTCTTCTTCATGTCTCTTCTTCATCAACATGTGTCCCCTCTTCTTCATGTCTCTTCTACATCAATGTGTCCCCTCTTCTTCCTGTCTCTTCTACATCAACATGTGTCCCCTCTTCTTCATGTCTCTTCTTCATCAACATGTGTCCCCTCTCATGTGTCCCCTCTTCTTCATGTCTCTTCTTCATCAACATGTGTCCCCTCTTCTTCATGTCTCTTCTACATCACCATGTGTCCCCTCTTCTTCATGTCTCTTCTACATCAACATGTGTCCCCTCTTCTTCATGTCTCTTCTTCATCAACATGTGTGCCCCTCTCTTCATGTCTCTTCTTCATCAACATGTGTCCCCTCTTCTTCATGTCTCTTCTTCATCAACATGTGTCCCCTCTTCTTCAGGTTCTCTTCTTTCTACATAACATGTGTCCCCTCTTCTTCTGCTCTTCTTCTATCAAAACATGTGTCCCCTCTTCTTCATGTCTCTTCTACATCAACATGTGTCCCCTCTTCTTCATGTCTCTTCTACATCAACATGTGTCCCCCTTCTTCTTCATGTCTCTTCTTACATCAACATGTGTCCCCTCTCTTCATGTCTCTTCTACATCAACATGTGTCACCTCTTCTTCATTGTCCTCTTCATTCATCAACATGTGTCCCCTCTTCTTATGTCTCTTCTACATCAACATGTGTCCCCTCTTCTTCAGGTCTCTTCTACATCAACATGTGGCCCCTTTCTTCATGTCTCTTCTTCATAACATGTGTCCCCTCTTCTTTCATGTCTCTTCTACATCAACATGTGTCCCCTTTCTTCATGTTCTCTTCTACTCAACATGTGTCCCCTCTTCTTCATGTCTCTTCTTCATCAACATGTGTCCCCTCTTCTTCATGTCTCTTCTACATCATGTTGTCCCCTCTTCTTCATGTATCTCTTCTACATCAACATGTGTCCCCTCTTCTTCATGTCTCTTCTACATCACATGTGTCCCCTCTTCTGTCATGTCTCTGTCTACATCACCATGTGTCCCCTCTTCTTCATGTCTCTTCTTCATCACCATGTGTCCCCTCTTCTTCATGTCTCTTCTACACAACATGTGTCCCCTCTTCTTCATGTCTCTTCTTCATCAACATGTGTCCCCTCTTCTTCATGTCTCTTCTACATCAACATGTGTCCCCTCTTCTTCATGTCTCTTCTTCATCAACATGTGTCCCCTCTTCTTCATGTCTCTTCTACATCAACATGTGTCCCCTCTTCTTCATGTCTCTTCTACATCAACATGTGTCCCCTCTTCTTCATGTCTCTTCTTCATCAACATGTGTCCCTCTTCTTCATGTCTCTTCTTCATCAACATGTGTCCCCTCTTCTTCATGTCTCTTCTTCATCAACATGTGTCCCCTCTTCTTCATGTCTCTTCTACATCAACATGTGTCCCCTCTTCTCTTCATCAACATGTGTCCCCTCTTCTTCATGTCTCTTCTACATCAACATGTGTCCCCTCTTCTTCATGTCTCTTCTTCATCAACATGTGCCCCTCTCTTCATGTCTCTTCTACATCAACATGTGTCCCCTCTTCTTCAGGTCTCTTCTACATCAACATGTGTCCCCTCTTCTTCATGTCTCTTCTCATCAACATGTGTCCCCTCTTCTTCATGTCTCTTCTTCATCAACAGTGTCCCCCTCTTCTTCATGTCTCTTCTTCATCAACATGTGTCCCCTCTTCTTCATGTCTCTTCTACATCAACATGTGTCCCCTCTTCTTCATGTCTCTTCATCAACATGTGTCCCCTCTTCTTCATGTCTCTTCTACATCAACATGTGTCCCCTCTTCTTCATGTCTCTTCTTCATCAACATGTGTCCCCTCTTCTTCATGTCTCTTCTTCATCAACATGTGTCCCCTCTTCTTCATGTCTCTTCTTCATCAACATGTGTCCCCTCTGTCTAAAGAGACTCTGAAAGTTTCAGGAACAAAGATTCTCTCTCTTTTTGATCCATTTCTATAAAACCTGTCTGAAAATGAGCTGATCAGATTTTGGCCACTTGATGATGTCATAACGATGTCTTGTCTTGTGTAACCATTAGCCAATCAGCAACCAAGGTAACCCCCCCCCCACCTTATCACCTGAATCTCCTCCTAGAGCACCATTGAGTTCTTTGTAACCAAATGTCTCTCAGAGGGGCGTGGGGAGGGGCTCCTTATTTTCATCTAAAGTAACAGACAGAGAATCAGCACTTTGGAAACAGGGCTGAAACAGAGGGGATTATGGGTAATGCTGCAATGATCTGTTTGGTGTTTCAGCCAATCAGAGACAGGCTCTGGATATATCTGAGACCTGTGATATATTGATGAAGAACGGTAGAATAGGGGACCTTTTTATCGAGAATTATCTGGAGAACATGACGCCCGTATACAAGATGTCTCCTGACGTAAACAACAACAACGTGGCGTCGGAGCTCCGTGAAAACAAAGCCGTCTCTGACGCTCTGTTTGATACTCCGATTTCTGGAGGAATTATATAGTTTTTGAGGAAGAGAAACATGGTTTTCTGGCATCACGTTAACATTTTACGGGGAAATCTACATTTTGGTTTGAGGGCACAGAGACCCTAAAAGCACAAAACATCACAAGCATTAATTAGGAGGAAAAGAGATAAGATAGAGAGTTCTTCAAAATATATTTGGGGTTTCTGCCTTTCTTTTCATGCACAAGCCTTTGTGTTGTTGGTTCGATCGCTGAGCGGCAGGAAACGCCCCGTACGACCGGTTTCAGAGCTAAAAATAGCTGTGTGTGTGAATTATCTACAGAACGATCGAGAGGACTTTCCACTGCAGAGACAAACAGGTTTTATCTGTAAAACCACATCTCTGAACCTCTCACCTCCTTTCACTTTGACGTCCTGGCCTCGCTCATCAACTGAGAAAAACCACACACACTATTTCACATGTCAGAAATATAATGTACAAGTGGTTCAAATTAGCCAAATTAATTCAGTGCAAAACAAGTAAAGCATGAGGTGTGGATGTCAGTGGTATCAGTAGTGTAAATGCAGGGTGAGGATTGCATGGACATGTGAGAGTGTTGAGGTGCACAAAGTGAAAACAAACTCATAGCATACTCGACCGAACCGGGGTTGCCTGTAGGAGAAAGCAGAGAGGGAGAAGAGCAGAGGCTTTAAACAGCTGCAGGGCACCAGACCCAGGTGCCCTGAGTTACTGCAATCAAGACGGCACAGCCACACCTCTCCAGATGAACCCACAGGGGCATCACACCCTCTCCAGATGAACCCACAGGGGCATCACACCTCTCCAGATGAACCCACAGGGGCATCACACCCTCTCCAGATGAACCCACAGGGGCATCACACCCTCTCCAGATGAACCCACAGGGGCATCACACCTCTCCAGATGAACCCACAGGGGCATCACACCCTCTCCAGATGAACCCACAGGGGCATCACACCTCTCCAGATGAACCCACAGGGGCATCACACCTCTCCAGATGAACCCACAGGGGCATCACACCCTCTCCAGATGAACCCACAGGGGCATCACACCTCTCCAGATGAACCCACAGGGGCATCACACCTCTCCAGATGAACCCACAGGGGCATCACACCCTCTCCAGATGAACCCACAGGGGCATCACACCTCTCCAGATGAACCCACAGGGGCATCACACCTCTCCAGATGAACCCACAGGGGCATCACACCTCTCCAGATGAACCCACAGGGGCATCCCAGTACTGAATACTTTTTTTTACTTTAATTGATAAATGTAAACGCACAAATAAGGCTGCAAGTATGTAAACAACGCACGGCACATTCATAAAAACTAAAACGATTATATAGATTTTTCCCGATGTAAATATTTGTCCCAAGTGATGCATTCAAGGACCGTCGGAAAGATAAATATCTGATCCTTTTTTCTGTATTAACAGAAAATGGGCATGATAAATGGTGTCATTTTAGATTCATCTTTTTAAGAAAAACCTACTTTCGGCTTTGTGTAACGCTGATCAACGGCCCTGCTTCTTCTGTGGTGTTTGAGCTGCAGTGCTGATGTTTATATCTTCTTCTGTGGTGTTTGAGCTGCAGTGCTGATGTTTATATCTTCTTCTGTGGTGTTTGAGCTGCAGTGCTGTTAATTTCTTCTTCTGTGTGTTTTAGCTGCAGTGCTGCGGTCTGTTCAGCTACAGGGACTGGGAGGACAGCATCCCCGACACGTGCCTGTGCAACGGAGACGAAGAGATGGAGGGGATCTGCAAGACCGTCGATACCGTGAGTTTATGAAACATTATAATATATTTAATAGGGATGCTCCGATCGATCGGCCGCCGATCATTATCGGCCGATATTCACTCTTAATAGTGTGATCGGTGCTCTCTATAAAGGCCGATCAGGAAAGATGATCAGATGACGTAAAATATGACACTTTTCTCTGTGCGCGGCAAAACAAGCTCGCCAAAATGGCTTCACCGGTCTGGCAGTTTTTCAAGTTGTCCTAAAAAGACAATAAAATAGCGGTGTGCAACGTGTGTGAAGCAGAAATCCTGCAGCTCAGCCCGCTGTGACCAAGCCCCCAGGAAGTGCGCTGGACTCTGAGGAACACATTCGTAGTGGCCAAACGGCGGTACTACAATTTCCGTATCAGTCCATGACGTCACCCGGCTCAGAAAGACTTTTTCCCATTGACTAACATGGGGAAAGAGACGTCTGTAAATCAGCGGATAATTGTTTTACCGGAAGTAGCGAGCTAAGAGGCTCCGGCTTGACGAGGTTAGTAAAAGCTGACCGGAGCATGGAGGACCGGAGAATAGAGACACGGCAACTAAAGCTTCCCTTGTAACATGTTTATATGGATTTATTAAACAGACTGCAAGTCACAGCACAACCTGGCCGAGAGGGCTTTTAGGGAGGGGGGGGGGGCAGGATGTGTAACGCAAGACAAATTGAGAGCATCATTGCGAAAGGGAATGCAGCAAAATAATAGTTTTATTTCGATTACGCTGTTTTCGTAATCGTTGGAAGCCAAAATCGTAATCGAGATTAAAATGTGATTAATTGCACAGCCCTAGCTGCGAGTGTCACTCCACGGAGTTCACTCCATCACGGCCGGGTAGGGGTAGGGTATACAACAGGCAACAGGCCATTGGTGGCCCGCCAGCAATAATATTTGGCCAGTAAAATAATTTTTAGATTTTCTATAATGTCCGAATAGAGAATCCACTACACCTGAGGAATGCTTATTGTACTTTTATCCATGTTGAGAGTGAATGACACACAGGCACAATCTGGCAGCGGGGTGCACTGACGCTGATAGTGGATCAATAAGTAGGTGGACAACGCGTGGTGCTGAAAGCCAACATGCGGTTTGTGGTTTGAAAAAAAAAAACACCAGCTCACAAAATCATTCAAACGTAATGTTTACTTAGATATCAAAACATTGACAACAAAATCGGAGAAGCCGCTTGGTCATGGAGGGCGAGGGGTGGTGGTGCATATGCTGCCTCCCCAGCTGGCAGCTTTGTTTTGAAAGAAGGCTTTGGGCTTTGATTTTGTTCTGGCCCGCCGTCTAGTGGCTCAGAAAAAAATTGCCCCAAGGCCAAACTTACTTGCCGACCCCTGGTGTCGGGCGTGGTTTGGGATTGGGCCTAAATGTCCAAGTGAGTCACGTTTCTCTTCTTCTGTGGTTTCCTGCAGGCACACCAGGAGCCGAAGGAGATCTACGAGAAGGTGAGTGGAGCTGAGATATTAAAGAGGCAGAAAATAATAAATAATTATCCCACCTTTTTAAATAAACGTTTTCTCTCGTCTCCAGGCGTGTTTCCCGATCGTCCGTCAATACTTCCTGCTCATTGCCGACATCGCGATCGGAGTCTGCTTCACTCTGGCTGTTCTGGCGGTGAGAATTGATATTTTATCTTTTATATTTATTAACACAAACCCTATTTATTTATTTCAAATATTACTTTTTATTTTCTTATAGTTTTACCACTTTAATCTGGGATGATTTTGCTGTTAATTCGTACGTGTTTTTCTCCTAAATTGTGAGGTTTTTCTCGTTGAATAACCCTTTTAAATATCTGAAAATATCCACATTTGTAAGTTTTCTTTTCGCAAAGTTACCTCAGAATACAACTTGGGAAAAGGGGAAGATTATTTTTGTTATTGTTAATAAATAGATTTAACACCTAAATCTCAGCATATCCTAAACAACACATTACCATAATTTAACTTTTTTAGAGAATATAACAGATTTTATTCTGTTATGATTGTGCTGATATTATAAATCTAATCCATGAATCTCAGAATATTATTTTAAAAACACCACATTTTGTAAATAAAATGTGTTTGTTTTTTTTACCTGTTCATTTTTTGTATTTATAGATTTGAAAAGATTTTTTTTCCTGTAATTTTAAAGGGGACCTATCATGCAAAATGCACTTTTTGATGTCTTTTCTACATCAACATGTGTCCCCGGTGTGTCAGGGAACTCACGCAGCGTCAGAGAATAAAACCCCCTCTCTTTTCCTCCGTACCCAAATCTCTAAAAACGGGGAACAACGGAGCTGATCCAGATTTGCGTCCGATATGACGTAATATCTGAAATGTGGACCCACGGCCCTATCAGAAACGTTGCTATCAGAAACAATGCCCGACTGTTTTGGACGTAATATGGTCGGTGTTCACATTAGCATGGCTAACTCTCAGAGCTAACCTGTACTGGAGAGCATGTGTGTGAAGAAGCAGGAAATAAAAAGGAACTCACCTTGTGGTATAACCGGCAAGAGAGAAAGCCTTTGAGCTCCATACTGTTTCAGAAACAATCCTTGATAATCCATGATATGGCGTGTCATCACGGCAGTATCTGCCGGTAGAATCTCCTGCATAAGCTCCGCCCCTCTTTTTTAAATTTATTTTAAAGCTTTATACCCCAAATCATCACTTTAGAAACAGGAAGTGAAATAGAGGGATATGAGGCATGGCTAGAATGGGTGATCTGTTTGGTATTTGGAGCAAAACACTTCATAGACATGTGTTTATATATTTGTATATATCTGAGACCTATGCTACAAATAGCATGATAGGTGACCTTTAACATTAAAAAAAGAAAACTTAAAAAGTAGAATTGTATTTACCTCTTCGTCTCACTTCCTGTTCTCCTTTTGTTATTGAATACTAAACATTGAACCCTGACCCCCTGCAGCTGCTGGGCCTGGCTCTGAGCTCGGTGATGATCCATCAGATCCGTCACGGCGTCCGTGCCCCGATGATGATGACGATCCCCGCCATCTTCTCCGCCATGCCGCCCAAATACGAGGAGCTGAAAAGCCCTCCGGAGTATTAAACTCTCCTCCTCCTCTTCCTCTTCCTCTTCCTCTTCATGTATTCATTCAGCGCCATATCGTGCCTTACTGTGACATCGGGTTTATTCTCTAATGCAAATCAGCTTTTTGAAAAATCTGAAGAAATCATTATTTTAGTTTAGAGTGAATCGGATGGATTAATCACGGATGGTTTTTTGTCTGATAACGTTAAACATTAGGTCGTCTAGGTTGCAACATATTTAGTTTAAGAACATTTTGAGACTTTATTCTCTCCATTTTGGCTCGTTTTTAAGCAGCGTCACAATTAAAACAAATTATAATAAATACGTTTTGGCTTTAGATTAATTTCTAATACACGATTTGAATTTGCGACATTTTGGCAATTCATTCCTTAAAATGTGACTGTTTTCTAAGGAACTGTGTGTTCCATATTTTACAAAAGAAAAGGATATTAGTGAAATTTTAAAGTGTTTATAATTAAAAAAAATCCCAGAAAGGCTTAGAGTCAAACGTCATTGAAAAATCACTAATTTAAAGGTTTGATAAAGTCTTGAATTATTTTTTTTTAAATATTAAAGGTGGGGTAGGTAATTCACTTCAGAAACACTTGTTATATTCCATGGCATGCTCTAAACATCCCGATAGCAATGCATATCTTAAAAGGTACTTTTCTTTTTCTTAATTGCTTGAAACCATCAAATGAATGTAGTTTGATGACCGAAGTGCCTTCAATGCTTTCACTGAAAGTCATTTTTTTTACATTTAATGGGTCTTTTTAACGCACAAAGCTTTGCAACGTGAATGTATTATCTTCCACTTTGACTTAAATCTACCAAAAACATATTTTATATTTAAGATATCTTTAGTCAAACGTGTAAAAACGTTATTTTGAAATTCAAATGCTTTTAGTTTGAAATCCAGAAAAAATGTTATTTTGATTGAAATGTGTATTTTAAAAAGGGAGAAAGTCTTTAATTAAACTTTGGATACAAAGGGAAAAATGCTTTTATTTGTGCTGTTTGTCTCTTTGTGACTAAAGCTGTAAACTGATGACTTTCAGAAAATAAAAAAATACAAAACAAACTGGTTGGATATTTATTAACTAGTTTAAGATTATCCAGACTTTCAATGCATGTGAATACATTTCTTAGAATAAGATTAGTTTTCCTGTACAATCCCGTTTTCTAAAGGCCGTCATCTTTACAAAACACTTTTGACACGAGCAGTTTATAAAATTACAGAACTGATTATTTCCCAAAGGAAGATCTGGGTTTTTGAACAAAGTCACCAACGTTGTACATTTATCGTTAAGTAGATAGAATCGGGATGAAACCCTCTTTAATGGTCACACATGCAGAGCACACAGCGACATTTGGCCTCTGCTTTGAACCCATCCTAGCACCAGGAGCCTAGCACCAGGAGCCTAGCACCAGGAGCCTAGCACCAGGAGCCTAGCACCAGGAGTCTAGTACTAGCACCAGGAGTCTAGCACCAGGAGTCTAGTACTAGGAGCCTAGTACTAGGAGCCTAGTACCAGGAGGCTAGCACCAGGAGTCTAGCACCAGGAGTCTAGCACCAGGAGTCTAGCACCAGGAGTCTAGCACCAGGAGTCTAGCACCAGGAGTCTAGCACCAGGAGTCTAGCACCAGGAGTCTAGCACTAGCACCAGGAGTCTAGCACCAGGAGTCTAGTACCAGGAGTCTAGTACCAGGAGTCTAGTACTAGGAGCCTAGTACCAGGAGTCTAGTACCAGGAGTCCAGTACCAGGAGTCTAGCACTAGGAGTCTAGCACTAGGAGTCTAGCACCAGGAGTCTAGCACCAGGAGTCTAGTACTAGCACCAGGAGTCTAGCACCAGGAGTCTAGCACCAGGAGTCTAGCACCAGGAGTCTAGTACTAGCACCAGGAGTCTAGTACCAGGAGTCTAGCACCAGGAGTCTAGCACCAGGAGTCTAGCACCAGGAGTCTAGCACCAGGAGTCTAGCACCAGCACCAGGAGTCTAGCACCAGGAGTCTAGCACCAGGAGTCTAGCACCAGGAGTCTAGTACTAGCACCAGGAGTCTAGCACCAGGAGTCTAGCACCAGGAGTCTAGTACCAGGAGTCTATCACCAGGAGTCTAGCACCAGGAGTCTAGCACCAGGAGTCTAGCACCAGGAGTCTAGTACCAGGAGTCTAGCACCAGGAGTCTAGTACTAGCACCAGGAGTCTAGCACCAGGAGTCTAGCACCAGGAGTCTAGTACTAGGAGCCTAGTACTAGGAGTTTAGCACCAGGAGTCTAGCACCAGGAGGCTATCACCAGGAGTCTAGCACCAGGAGTCTAGTACTAGCACCAGGAGTCTAGTACTAGCACCAGGAGTCTAGTACTAGCACCAGGAGTCTAGTACTAGCACCAGGAGTCTAGCACTAGGAGTCTAGCACTAGCACCAGGAGTCTATCACCAGGAGTCTATCACCAGGAGCCTAGTACCAGGAGTCTATCACCAGGAGACTAGTACCAGGAGTCTAGCACCAGGAGTCTAGCACCAGGAGTCTAGCACTAGCACCAGGAGTCTAGCACTAGGAGTCTATCACCAGGAGTCTATCACCAGGAGTCTAGTACTAGCACTAGGAGTCTAGTACTAGCACTAGGAGTCTAGTACCAGGAGTCTAGTACTAGTACCAGGAGTCTAGTACTAGTACCAGGAGTCTAGTACTAGCACCAGGAGTCTAGTACCAGGAGTCTAGTACTAGTACCAGGAGTCTAGTACTAGCACTAGGAGTCTAGTACCAGGAGTCTAGTACTAGTACCAGGAGTCTAGTACCAGGAGACTAGTACCAGGAGTCTAGCACCAGGAGACTAGCACCAGGAGTCTAGTACTAGCACTAGGAGTCTAGTACTAGCACTAGGAGTCTAGTACCAGGAGTCTAGTACTAGTACCAGGAGTCTAGTACTAGTACCAGGAGTCTAGTACTAGCACCAGGAGTCTAGTACCAGGAGTCTAGTACTAGTACCAGGAGTCTAGTACTAGCACTAGGAGTCTAGTACCAGGAGTCTAGTACTAGTACCAGGAGTCTAGTACCAGGAGACTAGTACCAGGAGTCTAGCACCAGGAGACTAGCACCAGGAGTCTAGTACTAGCACTAGGAGTCTAGTACTAGCACTAGGAGTCTAGTACCAGGAGTCTAGTACTAGTACCAGGAGTCTAGTACTAGTACCAGGAGTCTAGTACTAGCACCAGGAGTCTAGTACCAGGAGTCTAGTACTAGTACCAGGAGTCTAGTACTAGCACCAGGAGTCTAGTACTAGCACTAGGAGTCTAGTACCAGGAGTCTAGTACTAGTACCAGGAGTCTAGTACTAGCACCAGGAGTCTAGTACTAGCACCAGGGAGTCTAGTACCAGGAGTCTAGTACTAGCACTAGGAGTCTAGTACCAGGAGTCTAGTACTAGTACCAGGAGTCTAGTACTAGCACCAGGAGTCTAGTACTAGCACTAGGAGTCTAGCACCAGGAGTCTAGCACCAGGAGTCTAGCACTAGGAGACTAGCACCAGGAGTCTAGCACTAGGAGTCTAGCACCAGGAGTCTAGCACCAGGAGTCTAGCACCAGGAGTCTAGCACCAGGAGTCTAGCACCAGGAGACTAGCACCAGGAGTCTAGCAGCTATTGTGTAGAGGTGAACTGGGACCTCTCCAAGTAGCAGCCCACACTCCATATTTTAGGTCTGGTCGGGGACTTGAACCGGCGACCCTACGGCTAAGTAGAAGAGATGACAAAAGGTCCACTGGAGGTAAATAATGAATAGATTCTGATCGGGGAATTTTACAAGAACATAAATCTGAATGACTGAGAATACAGTGGAGCCTTTACTGGAAAGAAACACGTTTATGAGAGAGAAGGAAAATCTATTATTTTAACACTTTTTGCTCGAGTTTCTTCTCATAAATTTGGGAGCAATGTTTTGAAAATTTAAAAAGTATAATTACTTTAATTAAAGTGGCACATTTACAATGAAAACAAATCACACATTTGTAAGAGAACACTTTCCCCGATTGGTCCTCGTACATTTGGGAGTTTATATTCAGGGAGTTTTACTTTTCTTTGACTCAAATCACAAAAGATATTCAAGTTCTTTTAAATACATTTACAATTTCCCATAAATGTATGACTTCAACATCTCAGAGAATATTTATTTCCTATTATGCTGTTTCTCATCAATATATCACAGGTCTCAGATATATCCAGAGCCTGTCTCTGATTGGCTGAAACACCAAACACATTTTCTCTTAACATTTCCTACAAAATGTCACATTTCTTCTTGTAAATGTATGATTTGAAAACCTCAGAGAAAATGCAAGTGTATGTACGGGTAGAGAACACGTTTTATTTATATATTTTATTCTGTAAATAAACCATTTGAATTCTTCTCAGAGTACGACCCAGCTTCCGTAAGCCTTTGATTTTTTACCTAAAATGTGCCGTGACTAAAGCTACAGGGGGTTAAAGACAGTGAAAGTACACAGAGTACAGAGAGTACACAGAAAATAACTTTTGTTCACGTACAGATGTCAGACGTGCGTCACCGCCTCGTGAATATAAATTATTAAATATCTGCTTTTCAGGGTTTTTTTATTCACCATTTCTTTTAAAAGTAAAACAGAAAAAAGCCTTTTACAGAAATCAAACATGCACAGTATTATTTATGAGTGTGTGTGTGTGTGTGTTTTAAAAACCATGAAGAAGAGGATGATGAAGGAGCTGCACAATAATCAGAAAGATATTCATATTTATTATTTAGAGATGAAATCATTCATAAATAAAAACATTGACTAAAGAATTATACTTGTTTTTGTTGTTTCCAGCTCCTGACATTTTAATTAATTAAACGTTGTTTTATTAATAAGTAAATACATTTATGATTTAAAGAAAACACATTTTTAAAGACGGACATATTTAGATTGTTTTGTATTTTTTTTATCTGATTTGTTTAATCTGGTAATTTTGTTTGATTTCATTTATTAAATTATTAAATTACGATAAATTATTTTTTGTAAATCACCTGCAGCTTCTAAGGACCTGGAACGTTATATGTTATTTATAATTTATTTAAATGTGCAGCTCAAACAGAAGTATGGATTATATTTTGGATTTATTGAATAAATATGTAGTTTAATGTGTTATCCTGCAGGTGGCGCTGTTCCCTCGCCCTGCTGCTCCTCTGGGTCGAAAACAGGATTTATTTGATTATTTCTGGATAAATATGATGAGTTTTTACAGAGTGAGTGTGTGTGTGTGTGTGTGTGTGTGTGTGTGTGTGTGTTTTATCCCACGAGAGATTCCCCACCAAGTAAAGAAAACAAAATAAATCTCCTGTCTGTTTTAAATCAGCTTTTTTATTGGCGTAATAAACACAACAACATCTGTCATGTGTTTATTTTAGGTGAAGTCACTGACTCTGTAGATATTTAAGGGTTAAAGTGCTGAAAACGGGAGGATTTTGGACAGATTTTGATCAAGAGATGCTTTTATTTTGAAGGGACATCATTTGAAACGTGATTTCCCATGATCCTTAGCAGCAAAGGACTTTTTATTAGGGTTTTAGAGCCACTCGTTAATGTGTGTGCAAGCGTGTGTGTGTGTGTGTGTGTGTATGTGTGTGTGTGTGTGTGTTAGCCAGAGGAGCAGCACCCCCCCGCGGGCGTGGCCTGGGGTTCGTCGTCAACGATCTGTACGCCCCGCCTACTCGATGCTGATTGGCTCGCGCCGTTGCCCTTCAACCGCTCCTCAGCCTGAGCCGTCTCCATCATCCCTGAGAGAGACAATTAAATAGAGTTAAAACTAATAATAAAAAATATTTACAAATAATTAAAAAATAAGGCACAGAGGAATACATATTAGGTTTTTAAAAACACACACAAAATAATTAAAATAAATCAAATAAGGTTTAAAAGAATAGAGCTAAAACACAGGACAGGAAATAAAAAATGTAAAATATACAGAGAATAAAATAGAATGTTAAAATACAAAGAAAACAATAAAAATACAGAGAAAATTGTAATAAAAAGTTGAAATATAGAGAGATACAAATGAAATGTTAAAAATACAAAGACAGTAATACAAATGTTTTATATGCATTAAAAATAGCAGATTTGTGAGGATACAATACAAAAAACTGTATTTCTATTAAATGTAATTGCTCCTATAAAGACGTGCTGTTATCACGGTGAAAACATTTAAACATTTTTCAGATTATTATTTGAATTTATGAAAAGTTTCGTACTTTTACAGAGATCCAGGAAGAGCTCCTCGATGCCTTTATTTAACTTCGCTGACGTGTGGTAATGTTTGGCTCCAACCGACTCTGCATAGCTACAGAGACACAGAGAATACATGAGAACACACACACACACACACACAGAGAGAGAAACACACACACACAGAGAGAGAGAGAGAGAGAATCACACACACAGAGAGAGAGAGAGAATCACACACACACACAGAGAGAGAGAGAGAATCACACACACACACACAGAGAGAGAGAGAAACACACACACACACACAGAGAGAGAGAGAAACACACACACACACACAGAGAGAGAGAGAAACACACACACACACACACAGAGAGAGAGAGAAACACACACACACACACACAGAGAGAGAAAACACACACACACACACAGAGAGAGAAACACACACACACACAGAGAATCACACACACACACAGAGAGAGATAGAAACACACACACACACAGAGAGAGAAACACACACACACACACACACAGAGAATCACACACACACACAGAGAGAGATAGAAACACACACACACACACACACACACACAGAGAATCACACACACACACAGAGAGAGATAGAAACACACACACACACACACACACACACACACACACACCACACTACACACACACACACACACACACACACACACACACACACACACACACACACACACACACAACCACACACACACACACACACACACACACACACACACACACACACACACACACACAACACACACACACACACACACACACACACACACACACACACACACACACATTTACCCCTCTCAGCGTCTTCCACTGAAACATGTCTGTCTTTGTCCAAATCAATTTTATTACCTGCAGAGAAATGAATTATTATTGATCTGTTTGATAGTTGTTGGTCAATAAATAGATTTAAATCAAAGTGAAGTGATTAGTGTTGTTTATATCTCACCTACTATACATAAACAAATGTCGTTCCCCAACATTTTCCTCAACTCCTTCACCCAGTTCTTCACCTGCAAACACAAACCGTACATATCAATCAAATCATATTCTAGAGCAGGGGTGTCAAACTCAAGGCCCGGGGGCCAAATCCGGCCCGCGACCTAATTGTATGTGGCCCACAAAGAGCTTGCAAAGAAATATAATATACAATACAATTGGTGTAATTGTTGAATATTTACTTTCAATGATTTGCCCTAGACTTCTGCTTTCAGACGTAGTTATTTAGGAAGTTATGACCAGAACTGATAATAATCCAATGCAGGGCCAACAATGTAATATAATACATTATTTAATATATATTATATATTTACATATGTATATTTATATATCATTATATTATATATGCCCTTTGAGTGCAACCATAATGCTGATGTGGCCCGGGATGAAATTGAGTTTGACCCCCCTGTGCTAGAGGAAGGTTGGTAAAGCAAAGCGATTCCTTAAAAATAAAACATTTAAAAATCATGAAATGTTGTGATTCTCTCTGTGTGTGTGTGTGTGTGTGTGTGTCTGTGTGTGTGTCTGTGTGTGTGTGTCTGTCTGTCTGTGTGTGTGTGTCTGTGTCTCTGTGTGTGTGATTCTCTGTGTGTGTGTGTGTGTGTGTCTGTCTGTCTGTGTGTGTATCTCTGTGTGTGTGATTCTCTGTGTGTGTGTGTGTGTGTGTGTGTGTGTGTGTGTGTGTGTGTGTGATTCTCTGTGTGTGTGTGTGTGTGTGTGGAATCAAACTCAAACAAAAATAAATTAATTCAATAATCATAAATCTTTAAAAAATATATAAATATTAAATTCAAACAAAATAAATTACTTTTCAAATAAATTAAATAAACATTTCGTAAAATACAATTAAAACAGAATTAAATTCTATAAATAAAATTAAAAAGTGAAATTCAAACTAAAATAATAAATCGTTAAATTAAATGTAAACAAAATCCACTCTTATGGACCAGTCTAACTGTATATAAAGTAAACAACAACAAAGTGTTTACCTTCTGGAAGGAGTCCTCGTCGGTGACGTCGTACACCAGCACGGCTCCGTTCGAGTCTCTGTAGTAGATCGGTCCTAAAGCGTGGAAACGCTCCTGACCCGCCGTGTCCTGGAACACAACAACAACATCAATATGTGTGTTGTGTACACTCTAGTAGTCAACAGTAAATAAAGTGTGTGTTCCTCACCCAGATGGCGAGGTTCACTCTCTTTCCTGTGATGTTCAGCTTCTTCGTGAGGAAGGACGCCTGCAGGAGATCAAAGGATCAGTATTTAATAATCAATGAACCTGATTAATGAGGAACTTAAAGGTCACCTATCATGCTGTGTGTAGGCAATAGCATAGGTCTCAGATATATACAAATATATAAAAAACATGTCTATGAAGTGTTTTGCTCAAAATACCAAACAGATCACCCATTCTAGCCATGCCTCATATCCCTCTATTTCACTTCCTGTTTCTAAAGTGCTGATTTGGGGTATTTTTTTTAAACGGCAGCTACCATCTAAACTAAATACTGCCGTGATGAAACGCCATATCATGGATTATCAAGGATTCTCTCTGAAACAGTATGGAGCTCAAAGGCTTTCTCTCTTGCCGGTTATACCACAAGGTGAGTTCCTTTTTATTTCCTGCTTCTTCACACACATGCTCTCCACTACAGGTTAGCTCTGAGTGTTAGCGATGCTAATGTAAACACCGACCATATTACGTCCAAAACAGTCGGGCATTGTTTCTGATAGCAACTTTCTGATAGGGCCGTGGGTCCACATTTCAGATATTACGTCATATCGGACGCAAATCTGCATCAGCTCCGTTGTTCCCCCGTTTTTAGAGATTTGGGTATGGAGGAAAAGAGAGAGGGTTTTATTCTCTGACGCTGCGTGAGTTCCCTGACACACCGGGGACACACCGGGGACACACCGGGGACACACCGGGGACACACCGGGGACACACCGGGGACACATGTTGATGTAGAGAAGACATCAACAAGTGACTTTTGCATGATAGGAGACCTTTAAACTGATAGGTGTGTATTTATAATGACACATGATAATTAAGAATAATGTTAATGGTACGTAAAAAGTAGAAATAACAAAATAATTGAATTTAAATTAAATGAAAAAAAAACAGAAATACTAAAAAACTTAAATAAAGAAACCAACAAAAAAAAACACAAATATTATCAAATTAAATATTAGATGAAAAGAATAAAACTTTATAAATATAATGTAAAAAACATCAGATTATATAATTAAATAAAAAAATAAAACATAAAATAACTTTAATAATCAAAATAAAGTATTAGTTGGGTGTGGTGTACGAACTTAAATGTGTTTTGAATTCAACCAGCTTGACGGGCAAGTCTATTTATAAATCACATTTAAACAACAACAACAAGGCAAACAAAACAAACAAAAAACACGGAGAGACAAAATGCAACAGGAGCTTTTAAATATAATTTTAAAAAAGAGTCATAGAAAGAAAAAACGACCTAAAATGGGTAAAAAAAACTCAAGAGAAATCACATGACCGTCTTCAGACGACCTTTGACCTCTTGGCTGTTTGTTATTCGTGGATCAGAGCGGAGGATTAACATACTGCTGGATTTATCTTAATCTCTCTGCGACTGAAAAGCTCACTTTTAAAAATACAGGAAAGGGTTTGAAGTCGTGTCTCAATAAATAACTATTACGTATTTTTCAGACTTTATTCAGAGAAACGGGTTCAAAAACCTTTTTCATTTGAACCTGAGAGTTAGAAAGCAGATCTGATAAAGAGGTCAAAGTGCGTCGGGGTCAAAGGTCGAGGTTTCTGATTTATTGGACTTTCGGTGGGAAACAAAATTCAGGGGCTAGATGTTAAAGAGTGTGTGTGTGTGTGTTGTGGTGAGTGTGTGTGTGTGTGTGTGTTGTGGTGAGTGTGTGTGTGTGTGTGTGTGTGTGTCAGCTGACTGGTGTGTGTGTGTGAGAGTAAGTGAGTGAGTGTGTGTGTGAGTGTGTGTGTGTGTGTCAGCCAGGGGCGCGGGAAAGGGAGTGAAAAGTTAGGACGATTCTAAGGGCCCGTGACTGACAGGGGCCCAAACAATTTTAGAACATTAAGAAAAAAATGTTTAAGTAACCAATGTGATATATTTTCATGGGGCCCAACATCCCTGGTGGCGCCCCTGGTGTGTGTGTGTGTGTGTGTGTGTGTGTGTGTGTGTGTGTGTGTGTCAGCTGTGTGAGTGAGTGAGTGAGTGAGTGAGTGTGTGTCAGCTGTGTGTGTGTCAGCTGTGTGAGTGAGTGAGTGAGTGTGTGTCAGCTGTGTGTGTGTCAGCTGTGTGAGTGAGTGAGTGAGTGAGTGTGTGTGTGTGTCAGCTGACTGGTGTGTGAGTGTGTGTGTGTGTGTGTCAGCTGTGTGTGTGAGTGAGTGATTGTGTGTGTGTGTCAGTTGTGTGTGTGTGTGTGTGTGTGTGTGTGTGTGTGTGTGTGTGTGTGTGTCAGCTGACTGGGTGTGTCCTTCTCTAAATGAGGTCACTGTGTGCTGCTCCATTATTGTTCCTGTTGTTATTATTTGCTTAACAAGTTGTTTGTTTTGTAGAATCAGAACTCATTTTAAAGTAAATAAACGTATTTGAACTTATATAAAAAATGATATTAAATCAAACTCACTGAGAAAGGACGAACACATATCATTATTTTATTAGTTTAAACTATTATATCACAACTTGTTTTCACATTTTCTCATCGCTCTTAACAATAAGTTGATTATTTAGAATAAAAAACCTAAGTATAAAGAAATAAAATAAACCTTGAGGTAAGAACTAAGTACAGATGAATACAGAAAGTAAATATAACTTAATAAGAGGTTTATAAACTCAAAGATGGATCAAAAGGGAAATTATATAAGTGGTATTAAGTGGCTTTTGATTTACATTTTAAACAATTTATTTTTAAGTTCCATTGTGTTTATAAGGGTTATGCATTTTAACTATTATTTTTATTTCAATTTTCTAATGTATTATATATTTGATTTTTATTAAAAACTGTCATTATGTTAATTTTGTTATGGTCAATTATTATTTGACACGGTCTCAGGGTCTCTGCGCCCTCAAACCAAAATGCAGATTTTTCCCGTAAAATGTTAAAGTGATCAGAAAACAATATTTCTCTTCCTCAAAAACTGTATAATTCCTCCAGAAATCTGAGAATCAAACCGAGCGTCAGACGGTTTTTACAGAGCTCGGACGTCACGTTGTTGTTGTTGTTTACCAAAGTTTCAGGAACAAAGATTCTCTCTCTTTTTGATCCATTTCTATAAAAACCTGTCTGAAAATGAGCTGATCAGATTTTGGCCACTTGATGTCATAACGATGTTTTGGCTTGTGTAACCATTAGCCAATCAGCAACCAAGGTAACCCCCCTTCTCTCTCTCTCTGTGTGTGTGTGTGTGTGTGTGATTCTCTCTCTCTCTGTGTGTGTGTGTGTGTGTGTGTGTGTGTGTGTGTGATTCTCTCTATGTGTGTGTGTGATTCTCTCTCTCTCTCTGTGTGTGTGTGTGTGTGTGATTCTCTCTCTCTATCTGTGTGTGTGTGTGTGTGTGTGTGTGTGATTCTCTCTCTCTCTGTGTGTGTGTGTGTGTGTGATTCTCTCTCTCTCTGTGTGTGTGTGTGCGATTCTCTCTCCGTGTGTGTGTGTGTGTGTGTGTGTGTGATTCTCTCTCTCTCTGTGTGTGTGTGTGCAATTCTCTCTCTGTGTGTGTGTGGGTGTGTGTGTGTGTGTGTGTGTGTGTGGTGTGTGTGTGTGTGTGTGTGTGTGTGCGATTCTCTCTCTGTGTGTGTGTGTGTGATTCTCTCTCTCTCTCTGTGTGTGTGTGTTTCTCTCTATGTGTGTGTGTGTGATTCTCTCTGTGTGTGTGTGTGTGTGTCCTGCAGATATACGAGAGCATGTGACTGACAAACTCTTCATCCATGTTCTTTATGCATGCTTCTTCTATGTGTAGCTCTATAGAGCTTTTCCTGAGAGACGGATTTAATTTCTTTCTTTTCTCAGACGTGTAAAATCAAACTGAAGCTCCGAGGCTTCATTATGAATCTCTAAGTGTTTATTGATCCGTCCCTGGCTGCATCACCCTTCCAGTATTTCCCGTTGTCTGTCTGACTTTAGTAACCCTAACCTCTGAGCGGCAGATAAACCGCCTTTTATGAGTTTCTCTGGCAGAGACCCTGGGGTGGGATTATTCAAAAACACACAGCGAGACTCTGGGAGCGTTTCCTCAGAGATCAGAAAATATGGAAAACAGGTATTTGGAATATTTTCCGTCTGTATTTGTGGGTCGTTCTCTTGGAGAAAACACCAAGACTAATGGTGCATTTCCACCATGGCACGGAGCGCGGTTTAAGCGTGCCGTGTCGTGCCGTGCCCGTTTTTGGTTGCGCTTCCACTAGGCCTAGTGCCGGCCCGGCCCGGCCCGGGGCCACTTTTTCACCTCTTTTCTGGCCCGACAAAATTGTGGTTCTATCGAGGCCAACAAACAGGGCTGAGTCGGGCTGAGTATGCTAAACTAGAGAGAGGATCGCTGCAAGGGGGCTACAACTACAACAAGATGGACATATTTGACCGTGATTTAATTGTAATACACGTTTCAAAATGATGCCGAAGTAACAACATACTGATACCGGTTAGTAAAAACCATGAATTAATGCTTTGACAAGTCTGCAGACAGACGGCAGGCGAAAAACCTTTTAAAATGCGTGTTTTCTAAATGGAGATTGGCTAAGCTAACGCAGTATATGCTCCGACCGTCCACACTCACAACAACGGCCTACAGACATAAATAAAGCAGCGACTGTATTCACCATGACACAGGCAGTCTGTGGTTTGTACTTGTTTAACTTTTGTCTAGTTTCTGAACAGATATGAGGAGCTGTGAGCTCTGAGTGCTAACAGCTGTGTTGTTTTTCTGGGGTTCTCATTGAAGATGACGCCACGGCTCCGCCTACACTGCGTTACTATAGATACTACCCCAGTTCCTAAACTGTAATGGAAGCGCAGCATGAAGTGAGTCGGCCCTGTTAAGGCCCAACGCGGCCAAGCAGTACCGAGCGTGGCCGAGGCCGACCGTGTGGTGGAAATGCGCCATAAGGGTGCGTCTCACTTCTCTTATTTTTCATCTCCTCGCTCCTCGGGCTCGGTTTCACTGGAAGTTGATTTGTCTGCGCCATCTTGAGTAGCGTCCCAGTGGCCTTATTCGTGCCGGAGGACCGAGGATCGAGGAGCGATAACCGAGGAACTACCAGACCATCCTCCGGTGAAATCCTCAGACACTCGCCCCGCCCCCTTACTGTGTATCGCTCACTGATTGGACGATGCAGCCCATGCACTGATCTGGCTGCTGTCAGACGATCAGCTGTGCAGCGTCATCACAAACGGACGTGGCTTCACGTGACGCTCCGGAGGAAACGACGTCCCATTGCTCCTAAAACTCATTTCCCTGCTTCTCGTGGTTTCCTTGCGTCTCTCCATGCTTCCTGGTGGGAGGGACTAGTCGCAGGGAAACGACGCAAGTGAAGGACGCAAGGAATCCATTTAACCGAAGTGAAACGCAGCTTAAGACTTCCCATGAAGAATTTTTAAATATATATATAAATCAAAATCGATGATCGAAGTTCTAGTCTTTTTTTAAATCCATCTTCCATGGCAGAACGTGCTGCCTACATTACCCATAATGCAACCCTTATCTTTCATATTTTTTGGACAGTTATTTAAATATAGAAAAGCATCAAAAGCTCCTATTTGAGGAACTGCAATCAGAAAGTATTAAAGGTGTTTCAAAGAGAGAGGAAAAGGGAGGAGAGAGAGATAAAGGGAGCACCTGTGGGTGAGAGAGGGGGGGAGGCAAAGAGGAAATGAAACTTCAGATATGTCCACACCTTCACCTGCGTCACTGGCTGTTACTCACACTGTGTGCAGCATTCCTTTCAGACATTCGTTTTTACACTCTTAATTTAAGGTGTTTTGAAAGGCTGTCAAAGCCCCGTTGTGAATTGCACAAGTTACTTAGAGGACTATATT